AATGCCGTACCAATAGGCATTAACCTTAGGTAAGCTTGTGCTTACTTTGGACTGTACCCTCCTCATCCTCTGGGGGAGGTAGAGGTAGAGGGGGGGGGGGCGCATGGCCTCTATATTTCAGGGGGGGTTCGGGTACTGGTTGGGGGTCGGGTCTATGTGCACTGTATCCTTGAATTGTCCCCTCACTATAGCTACTGTGGATCAGTATACAGCTATCCTTACTCAACGCGTCTATGTGTCCGGCAATCTCCGATACCGATCAACCTGTGAGCTTTCCGTATACAGCTTTCGTCACTCAATGCGTCTATGTGTTCGGCAGTCGCAGACGTCACTCAACCCGTTAGGTCTCAATATGCAGCCATCCTCACTCAAAGCGTCTATCTATGTGTTTGGCACTATCCAACATCACTCAACTCGTGGAGTTTCAGTATGTAGCTATCCCCACGCAGCGCGTCTATGTGTCTGGCAAACTCAAAAACCAATCCATATGTGAGCTTTCAGTATGCAGCTATCCTCACTCAACACGTTCATGTGTCCGGCAATCTCCAATACAAATCAACCTGTGAGGTTTCAGTATGTGTCTTTCCTGACTCAAAGCGTCAATGTGTCCGGCACTATCCAACATCACTCAACTCGTGAGGTTTCAGTATGTAGCGTTGGGGGGGGGGATTGGCTAAAAGAACTTCAATCCGGCACGTATTCCGTCTCTTCTCGTTTGCTCTCTTCCCTCGCCGCCTCGCCCGTCTCCTGCCCCCCTCCCGCCCCATTGGTTGTTAGCTTGTGGTTTCGTTTGAGCGCTCGTTGTCGGCTGGCCTCTCCTTCCTTCTCGTGCCAGGAGGTCATGAACCTCTCAGCTCCCTGCAGCACCGCCGCATGCCAGGTTACTCCCCCCTCCACCTTCGCGACTTCCGTCCACTTTAACTTCGGGGCTGTGTCTTTCGGTACCGGGATTCCGAGACAACATGGATCGGTTTTCATAGATCCGTGGTCGGCCCTGAATGCCTTCAGGTCGTCAAGCACCCACGGCCAGTTCTGTTCCTGTTCCCCCCTACGTCGCTTCTCCCTCCCCGCCAGCTCGCCGAGCATCATCAGTCTTTTCGGGAGTCGTCCGTTCGGCTGCCTTGCCAATGCTCCCGCGAACAGTAGGCGTCATTGTCGGATCGTGGCTTCAACGATCTGGCAAAACGACGGTGTCGATTGGTACCTACCCCAGGGGTAACGCGTTGTAGACTTTTGAAACAAGAAGTTTCTTCGTTTTCGGGCCTATCGGAAAGCGAGGGCGGACTCCCCCTCTAGTCTGAGTAGAGTTTCCGAGATCAGTCTCCGACAGCTGGCTTTGAGTAAGAAACGATTGTATCATCGCGTATTTCGTTCACGAGTCAAACGCAATCCTCAGTGACCACGCCGACCACCAAGAGTCATTCGGCCTTCTTTTTTATATGCATACGGGTGCACTTCGATGGTAGCCTGTCGGCCTTGCTGCCGATACTATTGCGGGCGTTGTGGGGCATCACTCTTGTTTCGATGTTGTGATTGCCAGCACTTTTTTGCACATGAGTCGAGGGGGAAACCTGTCGCCGGGGTGTGATTGCGATGATGATCTGCTACACCGTACTAGGTACGCCAAAACAACTGTCCCTTCACTTCTTGAGTTCCTCCCGAAAACCTCAACTTGAACGAAAAAAACATGACATCGATCCGCGCTAGCGGAGCAAAGCAATATGAGGGGTTTGCTGATATCATTGCTTTGCTGTTGACGCCAAACAAGCAGCTACCGCCTATTCGCCGCACACAGTTGCTCCCACATGCCGCCGGGAAAGATATTGCCAACAGGCCAAAACCCGTTGTTGAGTTATCGGAACGCCGTCGCGCGCGAAAGTGCTTGGATGAGAATCACCAACACCTAGACATTCACGCGGCAAACGTGAAATTTCCACATGAAGGATTGGTCAATTTTCGCTCGTTGATCGAGATCTCATCAAAGGCAACAGCTTTGACCGTTTCCTCCTGGCGACGTAGCCAAAACATATTTTCTTGCCATCTTACGCGTCTGTTCCTTGCCGGCCGGCTGGGGAAGGAGTGCCAACTACTAAACGCTACAAACTGCGCATAATGTCTATAACCAAACCTAGGAACTCTAGAAGAAAATGACATGGCGAGTGTTTTCGAACACATTCGTTCTTGCGTTCTTTCCTAGACACTGGAGGGCGAAGGCGTGAGGGTACCGGAAACACACGCGAATCCCAGGATGTGCCCCAAACTACACTCCTGTTGTTATCACCCCCCTCCCTACTCTACCAGATTCGCGTGCATTCCGCACGGAATCGCAGACTGCTGTACCACTCAAGAAGAACCAAAATAAAGACACACATGCATGGATTGGTTTCTCCAAAAATCTTTTTGAAACCAAGGTAGATTAAACATCTCTCCCCAACTTTAAAACACGAATATGCCGACCCGAACACAAAGCGCACAAAAGCTTTGCGAGGAGCTCCTGTTGTTGAAAAGGGCGACGTTGGGGTTCGTTTTCGCGTATTTCGACGGGAAAACGTCCGATACGCACAAACCGCAGAGCGGCAACGAACTGGTCCTTGCCTGAGAAAAACGCACTCCTGTAATGCTGACCGCAAATTCTAGGGCAGCTCTTTCCCGTAAGATTTATCATCGTGAACGGAACTCTTGCGCCAACCATCACAACGGTATCACAACGGTATTCGAACTCTGCCGATGCCCGTTGGTAAAACTATTGGCCAGTAAAATTTCGCTACAGCGGCCGAAGCTTGGTTCTTGCTGCGCGGTGACTCACCCCACGTTTCATGCGGGCTTAAGGCGCGTCCTGTTACACCAGCAGCACACAGGGCTAGATCGCAGCACGTTGGCCAGTAGTCTCACCATCTTCTAGCCCCACAACCCTGGCTATAGGTGCCCTCGTTACCGCGGAGGTTTGGACTGAGAAGAACAAACGGCCGTTGAGAAAATGCGATGAAACAAACGTCGTGAATTTCGCGCGCGCCTATACTTCGAAACTCGCCAGCGGGGAATTCACACCCTCGACACGCCTTACACCGTGAATGGTTTGGAACGCGGCTAGGTTCCTTCACAAACTCAAAAAGACGAAGTCCCTCGACCCTTGTACGAACAACACCTCTATCTACTTGCTTCCCCCGTTATATTTCTGCGCTAAGGTTGGTTTATGCATCTTGCTGCGATGAGGCCCCCACAGTAGTTCTTTGTCGACGTCGTAGCAAGAAGAGTCGTTCGAAGCACTGGGGGAAGGGATCAAGGTCGAGGATGTTTTCTACGTCCCACTCCGCATCCAGGCCATCGAAGAATTCGTCGCTCGCGTTGACTCCACCCCTCCCTTCCCCAACGTAAACTAAGGTATCTCCTCTATACTCATGTAGGCACCGCAAGGCCATGTCTCCAGGCGGGGGGTATACCAGGAGCAGGCTGATTGCAGTACAACAGCAGCGACGAGAAAGAGGCAGGGGGTCCACGGAATGAAGTTTAGTCAAGCAAGTGTATGGTTGTGGTTCGGGCAGAGGAAAACTACTCAACATAGATGCGGCGGTTGTGAGCGGTTTGGATAGAGTCCAATACTACTTGTACTGGACACATGTTGCACAAAAAATTACGCCCGGCATCCTCCCGCACTGCCGCTTAACCGGATTTGGTTTCGCCGGATAACCGGTTTAAGCCGGTTGGTTCACTTGTTCTGCGCTGCGGCCAATCGAGCATATACTCATAAATAGAGAATAGTTGGAGCGTCCACCGCACTAAATATCAGTTTGGATGAACAAATAAGGTGTTGGACAAACTCGAAAACCTGACATCGTTGATAGGAGTGCAGTATTGAATGAAGTATATGCATGATGCGGAAGGCTTGCCGCGGGTCAGCTATCTAGCGAAATCCTTGCAATGCTTTACTGGTACTACGATACCTCCGTGATACGAGGTCCATGCGTAGTGAAGTGACCTCGAAGTCTGAACTGTGATTGTTGTTGAATCGCACTCGATATTCCACGGCGGCGGCAGGCGACGACGGCTACTACAGTAGAACAGCATTCCATCTTTTTTGGCAACTACGAAGAACTACCGTCAACCACGGAGTTTTCCCCCCGTAGTACCGATCCCCCCCCCCCCCCCCNATTCCCCCGGGTATTTCAATTTCCCTCCGGGGTACCAGTTTTCCCACGAGTTCGCCCCGGGGGGATGAATTTCCCTTACCTTCTGAGTCAATTTTGTTGCATCGCGGAGCACAAAAAGCATGATATGGGACGGGAAATTCATCTGCAGATCTCCGCTTTGAGCGAGATTAGGTGTATCGTTTGTCACTTGGCCCTTGCCGTTGTTTCATGGGTGAAATGCTTTCTTATTCTTGTAAAAACGCCACAAGCTCCCCCTCCTGGGTCTCCCAACCCCGGACGAGCTTCGGATCGATGCCGAACACCTTCCCAGCACCACGCCTTCCGACTGGGTTCCCATCGGCATACTTGCCCCGGCTGAACTTCAGCACCTCCAGCTTCTGAACGTTCTCGTATGCGCTGCGCCCGCTCTTCCAGATACTCGCCGCAATGTGAACAGAGCGGGCGGGTACTCTGTGGAAGGCGGGCCCTTCCTGTTCTTGGAATCACTTGCGGGACGAAACAAAGTCCCCCAGCTGCTGTCCTCCTTGCCGTCTTTCTTCTCTTTGTCTTAGTTGCTCTTACGTTCCTCCTCCCTCTGCTTGTTGAACGCTTGCTCGTAAACCTTAATCCATCTCAGTTCGCTACTCTCTGAGTGTGTGGTGTGTGGACCATCAACATTTTGCACAACCCCCCGGGGGGGGGCTTCCCCTCGGGGTAGCGTTGAAAAAAGAAAAACTTAGCCCCCGCGGTACGTCAATTTCCCCCCGGGGGGTTTGGTTTCAGAAAAAAATGATCCCCTCCCCGGGGGGAAAACTCCTTAGTTTACGGTATACTAACGACACAGGCGGGGATACACCAAGCAAGTTCTCATCATGAGGAAAGTGTCTGCAACGGTTGAAAGAGTGGAGGTAGACACCATAAACAGAACACTCCATTCTTTATCGCTTTTTTGGTATTCTAGCAGCCGTCTACTTCGGAAAATGTTCAAAAGGAAAAAAAAATGGTGCTCGCGTGGTAGGCTAACGGTGCTACTCACGTCTTATCACGGTGGAGGCGAAGGGCATGCTCATCCCCAGGTAGCACTCTACCGATTTGGGGCATGCCTGCCGTCGTGCCCCTCTCGTTGCCGCTCGAGGGGGGCGTCGCCCATTGGTCGAAGGAGATCACCGTGGCTCCCGCTTCAAATAATCCGCGCTGCCAGTGACCCCTTCCCGCGCCGATCTCGACCAACGGGGACAACGCTGACACCAATCGGATGGCCTCCGGGGTGTATCGGCAATTCCCGTGCTCGGCTTCGTATCTACGACGAGCATCTGGAGGGTCAGACACGCCAAAGATAATCCGGTGGGTCGCCAGCTCGACTTCGTCGTTGAAGACCGCCATTCGCTTGTCGTACTCCTCTCGGCTCACCTATGAGGAGCATGTACGTGCACCAGTGTTCAAACACTGAATCGTTGACCGCAAACCGGGTGGAGGCGGCGGGTGGCATCGACAGAGAAGCGCAGCGACGGTCTCGGGAGCGGCGGCTGGTGAAATCACATTGTCATTAAACTTATGGTGGGGTCGTTGGCAGTAAAAAGTGGGTGTTATCAGAGAACGAACTTCTGACCGAATGAACTGTGGTATCACCTGCCGGATCCAAGTGCAAAGGGTCACTTCGAAACAGCAGTGCCCGCCCTACCGTGGAGGTGACACAAGATATCACACCCTCGGATCAATTTCCAATTTCAAAGTACGATTGCGCCACGACGAAGAGAATGCCACAAATCATTCTTTTCTCGGGAAGCTTGGGAAGCTCTCGATGGGATGGTTCCAACGCCGCCACTCTTGGCACCGCTACTCTCCCGCTGTTGCGCAATCGAACGTTGAAAACTGGTCCAGGGGGTGTGATCTTCGGTCGCCTTGTACAGGTCCAATGTACTAACTCGCGATCTCACCTCCCCCTTCCTAAGCCCTGCCATCAGCTCTTGAACCGGCATTCGCATCTTGGCGAGATACTTTCTCATCTGCACCTCGGCCTTGGCCCTCTGCTTCTTCGCCTGTCGTGGAATTGTATTGCTGAACGGAGACGTAGGCTGCCTCTTGCTGAAGGGCCACCAGCCCGCTTCGGCTGGCGAATCCGCGGAGACCGAGCACAGGGCCACCGCCAGCAGGATGGACGCTCCCGGGGCAAGTGGCATCGAGGCCCAGCCGCCAGAGGGGCTCCTCCTACTGCTGTTGTTCCGATGATAACGTTGAGGTGTTACTGCCGTAGTCAGCCGCAGGCCTGGCTGGCCGGCTGCTGGAGGCATCCTCAGGCACATCGACGCCGGAAGTTGTCGCAGCGCTGGTCTCACCAATGCTCCGCTCATGTTCTTTCGCCGTTTGTTTTGCTCCGCAAACGCTGCTGCTCCGATGCTTAAACTCACACTAGTCCCTGCCGGCCCCACCTCAGTAGTCTCAGGGACAGAGAATCGGTTCAGCACAATACACGTCAAGTCTACTGGTGCCGAGACTGCTGCTGTGGTATGGGCATGACCGGTCGCTGACTCTTTCATACACCCCCTCTCCACGACTTGTTGCGATTTGCGTGCCCCCTGCGTCCGGCGCGCTGGTGGGCTTGCCTGTGCTAGCGAGACGAAACCAACAGGTGCCACCCAATAGACATAATGCCTTCTTCTCTTGCAAAGGCGTTTGTTACGTCCGGCGCGGTGCTGGCAACTTCACCTTGCTCGCTAGTCTCTGCATTTGTTGCTCCTGCCGGAGGCCTCCCGCGTGCGGGTCCCGCGTCCTCGGCCGCGGCAGCAGCTCCTAGGACTCCCGTCATTGGGAGGAGGACGCCTCATGTTCTCATGAGGTGAGCGGAGGGCCGAAATGCCAAGGTCAGAGGTAAAGAACTGGTGGGAAAGCTTCAGGAAGATGGGATGCTCCGGTAATCTGGACTCTGTGTTTCATGTTGATGCCGACAGCGGCACACAACCAGGATGTGTGTCATGATCATGCGCGCGGGACATTTTTCTTCGAAACGAGTTCGTGGGCAAACCTACCTACTTGACCACACGTGCGGGCCTTGGATCGCTCCCCCTTCTTGTCTTGGCTATTTTGGTGGTGTTGGGTCGATGTTTGGCCGTCTGACACCTCTTCATATTTTGTAGGTGCGGGTATGGCTTCCTCTGAGCCTTGTGAGAATGGTCGTCTCGGACAAAGCGAAGCACACGTGTAGTGCTGTAGGTCGCTGCTGTACAACGTTGCTCATCCATCATGTTCATACAACACATGCACACCTTGGTCCCTCGCTTTTCTACCGTTTTGGACTTTCGCCTAGCTTTGCCATTTATGGTTTGAACATCGGTGTTGCGTTGCCCAGTTGTTGCAGACAACGGTACAACCGGTTACAGCAGTGTCAGACATACAGCAATGTTTGTGTAAGCGGTGTAAATACCGGCGCTCTCACTAGCTTAGCTTCCGAAGATCAATTTCACCTTTCTTGAAGATTCGCGCTGGCTTAAGGGTACCCGGACAACCTCCTGCTATGTTGCCTAATTTCGAAAACAAACGCAAGAGCGCCAGAAAATGCACTAGAGACACATAAGACCAGTCGGAAGGCATCGCAAAAAAAACAAGTCCAAAATTCTGGCACAGGGCAGCAGTAGAGACCGCTCAAAACGTGCTTTTCGCGCGTCTACCTCCACACGCATCCTTTGAAACCAAGATAAAAATCCACACCAGTCTAAATTCAAGTCAAAAGAGCCCAAACGGAAGGCGCTCAAATAAGGCCGGTGTTGCTAGGAACCTGGTCCATTGTACCAATATCACTAGAGGACACCCTATAGCAGCGGGGGGGTGTGTTGGCGCGCTCAAAACTTCTTCTGTGGTGGTGGTATCGAGTGTCGTTGTAGTGGCCCACAATCTCCGCAAATCTCCGCAAGTTAGATCGACACCCAGTGTCTTGTACTGCTTGTGCTCGCCGCCACTGAACCCAATCTTCTGAACTGCAGGTTTACAGCAGTAGCTGATGCCACCAGCTACTGCTGACAACCCGCAGTTGAGGGGTTTGCGGTCCGTGGTGGTGAGCACCGCTGTGACAAGTGTTGGGTTCCGCTTGGTTCCGGCGCAGATTTCGGACCGTTTTCAGAGGCTGCTGCGACCTTCGATATTTCAGCCCCAGTAGTATACCTGAACGTGCCAGCACGCACGACGCCTCTTGATGATATCCTCTACTGATACTAGCACAACGGACCAGGTTCCTCCGGCGGGAAGGTTGTTTTCTTTCTTTGTACTGTTATAAAGTATGAGAAAAGAGCCAGCGTCAAAATCCCTTGTCTGGGTACCCTTAACTCCTGTGCGCAAAGACTGGTGCTGTGCCTGTAAATGTGTACGTAGTTTGGCACCTGTCGCTGATGCTGAATACTTCCGTTGTGCAATCTTTGGATTCCTTATTTGGTATGGCACAGGTGAACCCAGCTGGCTTCCTACAACCAAGACGATTGAAATTTTGCACCTTTGTCAGATACAACGTCGTGTTCCTGTTTTGCGACTGATACAACTGCTGTGCCATGCGTAGCTCCTTCTTTGACGACGATTTCAACCCCAACGGAAAAAAAGCAGCACCCTCGTGGACAAAGACAAAGAGGAGGTGACGGAGTACTTCAACAACAACGGCTTTGAACGGTGGAACAAGATCTACTCCGAGTCGGACGAGGTCAACGACGTGCAGCGAGACATCCGCACCGGCCACGGCCAGACCATCGACAAGGTCAGTATCTTTCTTACCCTTCTCACATGGACGGACACCTCTGGCACCACTTGAAACCCTAGGTGCCTCTGCAGCTGTCTGGGGTACGGTCGTTTTGCAGAAACGTGCTTGCAGCAGCGTTGGAAGGTCACTTACATCAGGGCTTTAAAGCTTTTGCCTGGGGCAGGTACAAATGCGTGGTATAACTCAGCTACACACGAAAAATATTGAGGCAGTGCATACTGCTGTGTAGCAGGCATGAAGAAATGGCACGTACTTTCAATGAAACGAGTGAACCCGACCCTCGGGTGGAGTTGAAATCAAGCGCGATTTGGCGTCTGCGGCCACTCCTGTGCACCGTGCTTCGCTTCATCTATATCCTCCCCAAGATCTCCATCCCCCCTCCGTCCCCTTCACTCTGCGATAACCTCCCGTTCCCTCCGCCTGTACATGCTGATATAACGACATCAGGTATTGCGATGGGTGGAAGAAGACGGAAGCGCCAACAGCGTCTTCTGCGATGCAGGTTGCGGAGGTGAGTAGGTGGTCACTGCGCCCCTTTTTCACTTGAGCATGCGAAAGCAAAAATGGCAAGATGATGGACCGCACAAATAAGATTCGGCTCTGGGGAATTTTCGCGCTTTTGTGTAATCATTGCCCTTGGAGGGGGGAGGGTGTACTCATGTTTCATCCTCAGCCAATAAGGCCTTTGACTACACGTCCTCGAAAGGACCAAGCTTTGTTCCCACAGGACCGATCGCCAATATCTACGTCGCCGTTGGCGGCTCAACAATGCCCTCTCCTGTCTATACCACTTGTTGTACCCCAGCACCGCTACCGTCTTCTCCTGGCTGTTCCATGCCGCGAATCTCGCTCTGTCGCGTCCTTCTATGTTCCTTTGCTCGATCATGTACATTTCTCTCTCCTTTCCGTAAAACGGATATTCACAATATGTATCAATGAACGCAGTAATCGCACTCGGAGTTGCATTCACAAATCTTCCTAGATCTTCGTCTGTATGTTCTCGAAGGCCAATGCCCGCCCCCCTATTTTGTTTGCCACGATATTGTAGCGAAGGCACAGTCGCCGGCCTATTGGGAGGGCTAAAAACAGGCAGTTCGACGGCATGAACAGTTCCAATCCTGTCCACTGGTGTTTATAAAAGCCGTGCGCTTTTGTGCTCTACCCGTTCGATGTACAAAGCCGAGGCACAGTAACTACGTTGTACGGATATGGGCTCCCAACTTCCTTGGCAATCTGCGATGCTATCTGGCGTACGTGCCCTCCCCAACTAGACGAAAGATTGACCCCCTTACCCACTCTGCGCTCGCAGTTGGTTCGCTGTCGATCCCGCTGGCAAGGCTGGGAGCCAAGGTCGCTTCGTCCGACATCTCGGCCGCCATGACTGGGGAGGCCAAGGAAAGGGCGAAGGTAGGCAAAAGCGTACATTTTCTATTTCGCGATGACATGTGCTACATCTGCGCTTGCCGCGGCTTGGGCGGTTGTTGTCTGATGTGATTTGTTCGGATGTGTGGAACAATGAGCGTTGCAGTAGCGGGCGTTATTTTCTTTGTTTGATTTTGGCAGCTCGCATTGTTTCAACCACAAGCCGGCAGTAGTTCGTAGATTGGGCAATCCTAAGGCTCACCCAGGTGTGGGTAGGCCCTTGGCGTGTCGGAGCACAAGTGTGGTCATTTACCTGTATCGGACCCTCGAATGTGTCACGTGTTTTCCATTTCTATCGCCCGAGGGATTGGTATGCAAAACGGTAGGTGGTGGTAACGTTTGGACGCTACAGCAGCAGCTTGCCAGTATGGACTGCTGCCGTCCTGGTAGCTCAGGAGAGCGCTCAATTTCCGTTTGATGCGTGTATGCGCTTGTGCCAAAACTCGCGTGGAACAGGCCGAGCTGGGGAGGGACGCGAAGCGGATAAGCTTCACTACTTCGGACCTGGAGAACCTCAAGGGCAGTTACGACACCGTTCTCTGCATTGACGTCATGATCCACTACCCCACGGAAAAGGTGAGGGGAGCAAGCACGCCCCGTTCAACTGCTTCGTCCACTGCTGTACTGAGCAACGAACCCCCCGAACAATCACCGCCGGAGGCACAACTTTACTGCCGTTGTCCGGTATTGCGCACAAGGAGGGTTTTCAATTCTCTCCCCTTTGCGTCCTGACTTCGCTCCCTCGTGCGCGCTCCCTGCGGCGATGAGACCCGCATGACTTCGTTTATTCCTGCCTTTCGACCTCAATCCCAATCCATGGAATCCCTCGCTTCTCCTCAGATGTCGGACATGGTTAGCAAGCTATGCAGCATGTCTAAGAACCGGGTGATCCTTTCCTTCGCGCCGGACACGTGGTACTACTCTCTTCTCAAGAAGGTCAGTCGGGGCCACACACACGCGAAGATTCCGGCTATTCTTCTCCAAGCCTTTATTTTGTTAGGTGCCATGATTGCTTACAAGAGGGTGTGACTTGGTTGTCCGACGTTTTTCAGCTCGAGCCCCGTCGTGATACACCACCGAAGTACAGCTTCACCTTGGGGCGCATTCGTCACCCTCTGTAAAGATTATCCTCTGCTATGGTAGGAGATAGACTCGAGACCGTGCGAAACAAATCACTTGAAAACGGTACATGACGCGGTTGGGTTGCTGAAGAAATTGCCGATCGGTCGTCTGTGACTTTTTTTTTCTCGTCTCTAAACTAACTACGGTTCTTGTGCGCACGATTTTTGCCTGCTTCCCTCGTCCATTGCTCTCACAAAAGATTGGGGAGCTTT